AGGGACATTGTGCAATGTCTACATTTTCGCTTGTTCCAAACTGCAGGGATCCTATGGCATTCTGTGACGAGAGGCCAGGATGCTGTCAAGCTTCATGCAATGCTCAAGAAACCCCTAGAACAGGGATGCACTGGTCCAACAAGCCAACAGTGTCAAGGATGAGAAACCAAGCATTGAAGAGGTCAGTGTGAAGTAAGATAGAAACTTGGAAGTGCTGCTTTTTTAAGGCACCGACTCCCCACCTCTCCACCCTCAAGACTGCTTCCCACCTCAGCCCCACAGAGTCCTCCTTCCTCCACACTGCCTTCCCTGCACCAAGCACAAATAGGAACTCGTTATCTTCTCCACAGAACCTTCTCCTCCTGGCGCTTCATCATGGTTAAAAATACCACCCTCCTCCTCCTCCTTCTCCTCCTCCTCCTCCTGGGAGGACCATTGCATTGTGCTACCCTCCCCAACTCTGCTCAGTGTCACCTAGACCAAGCTGCTTTACTAACCTACATGGGTCATTATAGTGTCTCAAAGCATCTTTTTGCTGGTCATCAAGCTGAAGTCACTTCAGAGCCATCCATATTTGATTGTCTGAAGCATGAATTTCAGGAGGAATTAAACTAGAAGGATTTTAAGAACCCTCCTACCTCCTGGTCTACCAATCCAAGATAAACTCATGGTGAAACTTACAGCTTTACCTTCCCTTTTGCCTTTCCCCTCCACTGCTTGCTCTTCTCACTTTCCTGACTTGCTCCTTCTCTGAGCCCAACCCTGCCTCAGAAATGCCTCCCACTTCCCCGGGACCCTCCCACCACCCACAGGTCCTGGCACACCTGCCATCTTGAGAGCACCCTCCACCCTTGCCTCCCACTTGCTAGACAGCCATATTTCTGAAAAGAGTTGTCTACGCTTGCTGTCTCCCACTCACGCCTCAACCCACCACAATCTGGCTTCCGATCCCATGGCTCCACATCCCATCCACACAGCTCTGGTAAAAGTTACCAGCCTTGAAGCTGGCAAATGCATGCAACTCTTGCTCTCCAGCCCTTCCTGGATGGCATTTTTCTGTGACATTTGTAATTTCTTTCCTTGACCTGTATAGTCTTCCCACCTCTTTCTTCCCATCCCCTAAGGATGAATTCAGCTGCAGCCTGCAACCTGATCTTCAATCACCAGCAAAGGCATGGCCAGTTTCAGAGAGTCCAGATTCTACAGTTGTATTCCTAAACATTTAGCTCTGGGCAAGTTACTCAACACTCCTGTGCCTCACTTTCCCCGGCTGGAAGATGGTACGAAAGCTTTTTTCCACTCTAGGCAAGCCCTAGTTCTTCAGATCATGCTGAAACCTTATAGCCAAATGTGCACATTCACCCAGCCTTGGCACAAGTAGAAGAGGGAGTGTCCAGCTGGTATCTGTCAATAGAGGATGAATGCTACTCTGAACTGAGTTTCTCTGGAAGCTACCCTGGGGACCAAGAGTGGGGTGTGGTTACTCTAACTGGGAGACAGTCCCAGCAACAACAAAGGAAAGGCTGAGAAAACAAGGCAGGGGAGGTGGAGAGGAAAGAACAAGTTAATGAGAAGATAATTTGGAGGAAACAATTGGGTTTAATCCCATTGGGTATTTTTTAAGGAACTGAGTTAGAGCACTTTCTGAGTGTTCCCCATTAGGGACTAGGAAGCTGAGGAAATTATCCATGGAATGGCTGAGGCTTACTTAAGGGCTTCTGGACACTTCCAGACTGGGCAAGATCCCACAGTCCTAGAGGAAACCCCAGACAGAGGGCAGGACTGCTCATGTTTCAGGAGGACCGAAGACACCAGATTGAAGCTACATGTAAACTCACAGTTGAGCTCAAGCGACAAGAAGTCAACATTACCCAAGCACGTTTGTTCTCTGCTTAGCGCACCTGGGCCATCATTAATCTAGATGGCTCCCACCTCTTTGTTGACAGTATACCTGCCCACTTCTGAAAGTGTTTTCTCACCTCTTCCTACCTCCCACCCCACCAGCTCCATGGATATCCTGGACAAATATATCCTTACCTCTTTGCTTTCTAAATGGAAGCTTTGGTCTGTCTTTTTCTTTCTTTTTTTACTTAAACATTTTATTTATTATTGTTATTATAAAGGAGATATACAGAGGGGTTATAGTTATGTAAGTCATGTTGATCTGTCTTTCTTGGGAGAATAGTTATTATGTATGTATACAAGCATGTGCGCTTGTACTGGGTCTTGAACTCAAGGCATGGGCACTGTCTCTTAGCTTTTTCACTCAAGGCTGGCGTTCTACCACTGGAGCCACAACTCCACTTCTGGCTTCTGGTAGTTAACTGGAAATAATGAGTCTCACAGACTTTCCAGTCAGTGCTGACTTCAAACCTCAATTCTCAGATCTCAGCCTCCTTAGTAGCTGGGATGCAGACATAAGCCACCAGTACGTGGCTGATGATATTTATTTTTAATCTTTGCAGATATAGTGCTCAAGTACTTGACTAATGTTAAAGGGATCCAGATTCACCTTGCTTTCAGGGTCTGGCTCAAAGAAGTGGTCAGTGAATGTGGCCACTGTCCTTCCCTCAACTGCCACGACTCTGCCATCTGACTTAGGAAAGTACGTTCCTCATGAGCACAGAATGTGAGAGGTAAGGTCTTTAGTGAACAGAAAGAAATTCTGGGGAGGCACAAGGAGGGAATAATTAACTGGGGTTGTACCAATGAGACTGGTTAGCCTGTCTGACAGTCTTAATTACTTAAGAGTTTTAACTTCCCAGAACCATTAGCAGAACTGGCTGGCAATTCCTCCATTATATTATGAAAGATGAAGGGAGCTAAGGAGCCAAATGAATTGCCCTGCTTCTGTGGGAATTGAATCTGTAAGTCTGGTCTCTGCTTCATTCATTCATTCATTCGTTCATTCATTTGACATCTTTGTGGAGGGTCTTGGCACTGGGACACAGAAGAAAAGAAGACAGCCAAAAATTGAGCTTCAATGCAACTTCCCCTAGGGGAGACAATTAATTAGGCAGCCAGATAAATAAACTAATAGGGGTAAGACACAATGAAACTGGGTGTGTGATGTGTGGAAAAGGTGGTGGCAGGATTATGGGTCCCCAGGCAAGTAGATCAAATGGTCAGAGAAAGCTCCTTTGAGAAATTCTCTTCCAGGCTATGAATTGCTTGCCAAAAATTGTCATGTAGACATATGTCCAAAGGGGACGACAGTAGCTTATAAAGGGCCTGTGGCGGGCTCTGGACTCCTCCTGCCTAGTGTAGAGATGGTCTTACCCACTGGTGGTCCTATCCACTCAAAATGAGTTGCAGAAAAGTGACAAATCCTGTCCAACGCTAAGGGTATTCTTTCCTTTGAAGAAGTAGAGATGGTGCCCAAGTTTCAGTTCTCAGAACAAAGAGTTCGGTTTTTACTCATTCCCAGCCTCGTTCCTTCTTCAAAGTCCGAGTTTCAGAGGACTCTGAAACACTGCAAAACCACAAAACTGCATCCATCAGGTAGAAAACCCCCAAAGGTGGCATGTCCTTGGGAAACCACAATGAATGAGTCCCATTGGCAGAGACCGGCTGGTTCTCCTAAACTTTGTGAAGCATCTCAAGACTTATTAACATCTTCCACCGCCCCCCCAATCTCGACCTCCAAGTTGAGAACAAAATCAAATCCCAACTTTTGTGCGGCTTTGGAGAGTTTCAGATGCCGCCGGATGGGAGTCAGCCACAGCCACAAACCTTGCAGAGAGCAGTTTTGAAACGCCATAAAGGGGGGAAACATGAAGCACTCACAGGTTAGAAGGAAAATCACTAAGGGAAGACCACTGTCCCCGGCTCGGTGAGCAAGCAGGCTCAGACTGGCACCACACACATGCCACAGTGCAATTCCTCCTTTCTTGGTGTCTGTGCGTGGCAGCAATGAAGATACGGAGTGCGATCATTCATCAGAGCCTTTCCAACCTGCTGGTCCCTGTCAAAACATTCGGTTTCCAAATCAAACTTAGGAAGGCACTGTGAACACTCACTTCTTATTTGAGAAACTGAGGCTCAGGAAAGGTTATCGCGATTTCCTTAAGGTATCACTAGCAGAACCAGGCTCTTCCGACCCAGCCCGGTCCAGGGGCATGCTCACAGTGCCTTGCTTACTTACCTTTACTATGTCTGTTCAAGAAAAAGGAAAACAAGGAACTCCCCGCAAAGGAAGCAGCGGAAGCAGGACTGGGAAATGTCTTAAAAAAAAAAAAACAGAGACACCAGGAGATGGCGATTCGCAAGTCCATCCTCCGCAGGACTGGAGAGAGGCCGAGGTGACCCCCCCCCCCCCCCCCCCGATTCGCAAGTCCATCCTCCGCAGGACTGGAGAGAGGCCGAGGTGACCCCCCCCCCCCCCGGCCCCAAGGCCAAGGTTTCCGTGAAGCTGATCCCACTCTCCCACCTCCGGGTGAGGAGGAGCGAGGCTGCGGGAGCTCGGGGGCAGAAGACCCCGCTCGCCCCACCCCCTCGCCGCCCCCCTCTGCCAGCGCGCCGGCGGGACAAGGGTTAAGCGCGTCGGGAAGCCCCCGGCGCGGGGTGGCCGCAGGCCGGGAGTGCTTAGTCAGGATCCCGATTTCCTGTCGAAGTGTTTGGATTTCCTGCAGCCCGCGCCCGTCCACCAGCGAGCGCGATCGTGTGTGCGAGCCGCCCGCGTCGCCGGCCTCCTCCCCTCGGCGGCACATGGTCGCCCGCCCCTTCCTGCGCCGCGCTCCGCTCCGCTCG